CGCCACATTTCATAACAATTCTTCTACAATTAAATTTATAAAAAGTATTTTTGACTGTTCCCATAAAAAGGGTTAAGTGGCCATGTTTGAAATAGTAAAATTTGAGTTGCTTTATAAGATTTTAGACCAAGGATAAAACATGTTCTTTTCTTTTTACTTGTGGTGTGCCATGGAGTTCTAGGAAGAGCCCAGGTGTGCTGCACATGAAAATTGGTTGCAGAGCACTGATGTGGGCTATATACCCGGTATACCAAATTTTAATGTCTCAAGTACTTACATTACACTTGATACATTAGCTTCACAAAATACAATGTTATAATTTTTTTTTCACCAAATAAATCAACTAATTTAAACAGAACTTTTAATTAAGATTTAAAACATTCAGAAACCCTATTTTTTCAATGTCTTTATTTCCTCTCTTTTCCAACTCAAAAAAAAAAAATTAAAATAAAAGTGAAACAATCATTACATAAGCCACCCACACAGCAGACACAAATTAATGAAAGAAAATAATGGGATGTACATTAAATGAACATTGAATATTGTACAAAAGTTTCTTGAAATTTTTAACGAGCCTAATGACACCGAGTTCATTAAATTTAACACACAGAAAAAAGACATATGTACAATTAATGACAAAAATGGAAGGCACTTTATTTGAAAGAAAATTAGATATCTATAATTTCTGTTATGAAATAAATTTTTCAAAATGCTTTCTTATTGCAATGAAAGTATGATTAACAGAGACACTTTTTTTAAGCACCATTGTTTTTTCTGTAAAAGGATTTGTGAAATCTTTTATGATTGAGATATCATAGATGGACACAATAATAATTCAATTTTACATTCTATAGATTTCATTACAAAGTTGATGTAAGTATTTTAAAAATAAATAAATCAACATGTGATAAAATTAATTATAAAAAAAAATTGCATTCTCATAACAAAAAACTTTAATCACAAAAATTGACTGTACATGAAAAAAACATCTTAAGGCTGTTTAATAATTAAGAATTAGTGTCTTAACTTAAATCATCTGTTACCGATTGCAGGATTTTAATTTTTATAATTTTCTTTGTATTTAAACACAAATAATGTGTCAAGTGTGATTTTTTAAAAAAAGATGAAGCTTTAAAAAATTGCATATTTAAATGAGAAAATATGAGCTTGTTAAATCAGCTCTAGATAAAATCGTAAAACAAAATTTTGTCCCTTAAATTTTTCGGAATGCAAACTGAAGAGCGTCTTTTAAGACATCAACCATGCAGTGACTAGGACTTGAAACTTTGCTTATTACTTTATAAAAAGACATAAAAAGTTAAACCCAAAGCAGCAAATATATACACAAAAAAGAAAAAAAAATCTTTGACAAAAGACAACTTGTCATTTGCAGTTAAATATCTACGAATTTTCTATGCTTAACAAAAAAAATTTTTTTTGTTAAATTATCAAATATTTGATCTATTATTAACTCTGACTTGGCATTTTTATTTTCTCATTTGTTCTTCAAATAAAATTGATAACAGATTTATTGTGCTTTACATATCATATTTAATTTTATTGGAAGTAGATCCTAATATGTGGTGCATGTCTTATAGCCAGGCCCTCCTTTTAATACAGGGAAATAACTTGTCAGCAAAGATTCCCTGCATGTTTTACATTCAAAGCAAAGAAAGTCACTTGGCTATGTCACACCCTTTTTACTGCCACTGCATTAATAAAGCTGCAGTCAGCACAGACTGGAAAGTTGTGGAATTCTGTAAAATTTAATTTAAAAAATATATAAGTTCCAAAGAGAAATTATCAAAATGCTTAGAATGAAATAGCATAATTTGTTTGAGAGGGCATTAAAGTACTAAAATTGATTAATTCATGTATAATTATTTTATTTGTTGCCTATAATTACTTCTTTTTTCACAAAGTTCTCATACTTACCATGAGATATATGTAAATTTCTATTCCAGGCATATTGTTTATTTAGGTAGAGAAGTATATGCTGAATAATGATGATGTGTTCTGTCATCAATTAACGTGTGATCCTGGAATAAAATTAAGAAAAACAAAAGGTCATAGGTTTTTAACTATTTAAATTCTATTTTGAAATTATAAATACATTGCTGCACAAAAACCTTTCAAAAATATATGCTATGTGTCTTTAACTTTATCTTTCTGTTACTCACTGACTTTTATCTATAGGCCTATATATATATATATAATTAAATCTATTGAGACCCATTTTTTTCATTTTATTTGTGCAACATAAATAATAAATTGTTAAAATCAGTCCAATATAAACTTTCATATTGCGAACAAAATAATATTTCTATATTACACTATATTTTCATATAAATATGTTAGAATGTTATGCAATTATAGCAGAAATTATTGTGTTGAAAAGCTGGATTAAAAATAAACTAAGGTACATGTGCTAAAGGGGGCATACAATGATCATTATTTTTAGATTGAAACAAAATTATGTGATCTATAGGGTTTGAAAACTGTTGAACAGATGCTTATAAATATTAACTAGATCTTGTTACCGGAAGGTAAAAAAATTGTGTACACAATAACTTAATTCCAATAAATTTTCTAAATTTGTATTATAACATGTGGTCATCCTAAGTGTTTATGTCCATGTCAATGGTTCTCAAAGCTGTGGGTTGCGACCCCTTCGGGGGTCGAACGACCCTTTCACAGGGGTCGCCTAAGACCATCGGAAAATAATTTTTTGGTTGGGGGGTCACCACAACATGAGGAACTGTATTAAAGGGTCACTGCATTAGGAAGTTTGAGAACCACTGGTCTATGTAATGTGATTTCATGATATTTAAGTTTTAAAATTATTTACCCAAAGCTGGAGCAAATTTTTTTCATCATAACTGTTTAACACATCTTAAATGTTAAACACATTTAATTAAAGAAGTTTATTTAGTACACACTTAAAAAAGTAGAAAGAATTACACATCTAATCAGAAATATTTTGAACTCTAGCACCCAGTAAAATTAATTACTAAATTGAAATTGTAACAGAGGTGTAAGCAGATAGAGCTGTTATTAATGAATCAATTTTTTTTGTTGCCAGCATTAATATTTGGTTTGACTTTTAAAGAGTTAAAACAAATGTTTTTCCTCAGACCAGCAATTTTCTTTTAAGGTAATTTTCTTTTTGTACAAAAATATATTTTTCTATAAAGTCCTATGTTTAGTTATTATAATTTATCTATTTCATTTATAAAATAGGTTATCAACAGATGAAAAAGTGCATTGAAGTTGAAATCCTCAATATTTCTATTTAAAAACATATTTAAAATAATTATCCTAAAAAATTCATAGTGTTCCTGTGTTCATTATCAGTTAGCAGGATTGAGGAAATGTAGGCCATAAAATGTTGAAATTAATTGTCAAGCGGGCCTTCCACTAAGTGTGTCAAACATCTGGGGGGAGAGGGGGGGGGGCACTAATTTGTGATGATGTAGTATTAGAGTGTCTAATTTGTGATGATTTTTTTGAGGGGGTGGGGGTCAAAAAATAATGTGACATCATTTATGGATGGCTCCCAGCTTTTTATTAAATAATTCATTTGTCCATCAACTGTATTGAAAAACTTTCTCTAAATCTTCCAAGCCTGTATTTATTTACATCTATAGGTAGACCAACACAGAGCAGCATAGTTAGTTTTACTTACATCTATAGGTAGACCAACAGCATAGTTAGTTCCTTGTGGACTGGCCTGATACATTTGTGTATAATGGGCTGGTAAATACTGAAACAAATCAAAGTTACTCTGATCCTTCATGTGAAGTATAAAATCATCCATATTTATTAAATATGTATAATATACATTCAAACATTGAGTCTCATCTAAGAAAGAATTTCAAGAGAGAAATTAACTAACAATATTGAAATAATACATTTTACTTACATACTTTTTATTTTGATGTTGCCACTGACCATTGTCCATTTAATCCACATTTTTTACAATTGAATCTATGTGCTATGGCAGCAGTCTCTCAAAATCTAATCAGAAATATTTTGAACTCTAGCACCAAGTAAAATTAATTACTAAATTGTAATGAATATATTTTTTTTTGATTGCCAGCATTAATATTTGGTAACACTTTTAAAGAGGTCAAAAAGTCATTTTGAGACAACTGTTATCATGAATGGTTTTAAAAATGCAGGAGTTTGAAACTTTCAACTACAAAAGTGAAATAAGCATTTTATATTATTATATTGAATTCCTGCAATCGCTGGAGAATGTGAGATTTTTTATTTTTTTTTTAAACTTACAATTAAGCTGAGAGTAAAAAGAAAATTTAAAATGAATAACAATTTTGACTTAAAGAGAGAGCAAAACAATTCTTAATGCAGTTAAATCTTATTTTCTTATAAATTTTTTACTTTTGGAACAGATTTCTGTTTTATTATGTAATCTATTACTATTTGATAAATTACCATATTTTTTAAATAAATATTTTATATTTGAGCTTATCAACTTTTTATTAATTATATCATTTGCTTGTCCTAAGACAGTATAGTGTGAACTTGCATCTGATTCTTCATTTAAAGGTTTGAAAGAATGCAACACAACTTTAATATATGAAGTAAAGCAGGTACACATAAAATGTCCCCATGTTGTTCTTCTTTATCCTTAAATATAAATTTTTATGGTTAATAAATTAATTAATTACAAAATATTATCTGTTCTTTATTTTATGTCTTTGACTTCAATAATGGTTAACAAGTGTACGTCAACAAAGATTAAAATGAACGTATGTAGGGGAAATATAAACAGAAACTTGAAATTTTCTGTATATCCAGTAATTTATCAGAAACTATTATTTTATCATTCATCTGTCATAATGTATGAGGATAAAGAGCAGCAACTGTGTTTGGAATCTTGAATTTACACTTATTTTGTCTTTCAGGCATTTTATTGTAATAAATAAAAAACATAAACATAGCAAGAAAGAGACACAAAACAACAGGAATTGCGAAAAGAGATTTAAAAAAAGATGTTTATTTTTTATTTTTTTTTGTCATCTAAACTGCATGCCATTTCACATACCCAAAAACTAAGATGACAGTGCAAAAGAGAGAGAGAGACAGAGAAATGAGAAGAGAGCCAAAGGCAAAGAAACTACATCTAAGTCATTGAAACATGGGAAGTTATCAACAAAAATAAAGAAGGAACATTTTCAGACAAAAAGTTAAGTCAGAAGCTTTTTAAATTGAAATTAGTATCAGAGATGAATTCTGATGATTTCTTCAACCTATGAAGGCTGTGTGGCAAAAACAATGGAGGAACATTAAAAAATTATACTTGCAGCATTTGTAAAAATTGTATAAAAAAGCAACCAAAAAAAAATATTTAAAAAAATGGCCCCTCTTAACCAAAAAAAGCACAATCATACTACAGATACTCATAAGGTTTTGGAGTCTTTTCTCTAACTGGAACAGCAATAAAAGTGTGTTCACAATTAGTAGAGGTAATTAGAAACACCTTGCCCATGATGTTAATACATTATGGATTTATTTTCCTAGAGAATTAGTGCTCACTTTAAAACAGCTATATTGTAGATCATTTGAAAGGCCTTTTCATCTACTTTGATATTTCAATGGAGAACAGAGAAAAAACAAATGCACTCAGAAATGGGTGCCTTGTCCCCCAGAAACAAGGCATCCAGTACAGGACTGACTCCCATGGCATGAAAACATCTCTCTTGTGTAAGTAATGTTATTCTACTGCCTCAGAAAATGCGTATCGGAAATACCCTAGTTCCTTGGATTAAGAGCTCATGTACTGTAGGGAACTGTAACAGGGGGCTCCTATCCAACCAAGAAATGAGTGAATGATTTCTTTTAGGTTTTGAAATGGGGTCCCTAGAAATGATACAAACGCAATTTAATGCATTAAATAATCAAATAATGAAATCTACTGGATTCGCTAGTTTTCATTTATATCCTTTAAAATATGTTTCCATTGAGATACATTCATTGTAGAGATAAAGTATTATGTAGATTTATGTGTACAAGTTATTAGATAATTTATTATGATTCAGTTTGTAGATATCTACTACGAATTTTAAATAAGAAATGTCCGACATTTCAGAGCAATTGTAAAATTTCAGCTAGATTTTTGAAGTAATGATAATGTATACAATGTGTCAAATATTAGCAGAGGCTCCCCCACTATTACAGCTTCTGGAAACTATAATATGGAGAAACATTATAACAAATGTGATCCAGAGATTAAAAATATATTAATAGTAATGTTTATTTTGACAGTGTGCTGTTTCCATGGGCAGGTTTGTAAGTTTATGTAGTAGATAAGACTCCAAAACACAAACTCCTTACGGTCAAACATTCAACTAATTCTACTCTTTGATCTGTGCCAACTTAATGCATTTTTCTCTTTTTCATCGACAGCTTGAGGGAAATAGGACAAATAAATTATGACACAAGATCTTGAATAAAAAAAAATGTATGAAACAAAACAAAAACACCCACCACCACAAATAAAAAGCAATGATGTACACACAATTCTATTTGGAGAGGCTTTCACCCTGGGTGGCACATTAGGCAACTCTCTTCTTATAGTGGGGACTTTACTCCTTCTTACATGGGGACTTTACAATCTCGTATAGTGGGGACTTTACAATCTCGTATAGTGGGGATTTGCCCCCTCTTATAGTGAGGACTTTGCTCCCCCCCCCACCCTTATGTTGATGACCAAGTGAAAGCCTCTTGAGGTGGGTGGAGCAGCCAGGATGACTGGAATGTTAGCGGAACCATTTCTACATCCTAGCAGCAAGAACAGCACAGCAAATAATCAAACCTTTGTACAGTTAAGAATTTGTGTCATTTGCATTAAAATTTAAATCATGTGTATCATGTATAGGTTCAAAGTCTAAAAATTCATTCTGGCACTTGCCAATTTTCATCTTCAATGCATCAATTAGTAACTGGCAAGTCAAAACATATTTTCAATCTCTACAAGTTTTTAGGGAAAAAAGGGGGAGGGGTTGGGGAGGGGAATTATAAAAAAGTAGTTCCAGGAAAATGTACTAATACTTCAGAGTTTTTATAAATTAGAAAGAAAAAAAAATCAATCATTAAAAAAATTATTAAAGTTTTAGAATTTTAAGTGTCAATTGAAGGTGGTGGGACAGATATTTAAAAATGTAGACTCAATGTAAATGTCTCAAGGGAAGGCCAGTCTACATAGACTTTCATCTCTGAGGTATTAGGTGTGCATACATCTTTGAAAAATGTAAATTTAAACAAATCCCCTTGCAGTCTTCTTATCCATGAGTTTTTACATTCTAAAGCAATAAAAAGGACAATTTACACAAACATTTTAAAATTAAAAATTCCTGTCACAAATGAAACGCCGATATTCAAAAGAAGTGATTTGATTGATGAGAATTAGATCTGTACAAATAGGTTTGCTGGTATTCATGTAACTCACCAACACTTAAAGATTTATGATAATATAAATCAAACTAAGATAGACAAAGAAAGCAGAAATAATATTTTTTTAAATTATAGATATAAAGTTGAGATTAACTTGTTAGACTGTTACTACCTAATTCATTTCATAAATGTTGAAAAATTTGAAGCTTATAGAGTGTTTAATTATATTAAAGTAGTGCATATTAACACTGTTAAAAAAAATGGAAAAAAAAAAGTTCTTTATTTTAAAAAAATATAAATATATATTATTCTAGCCAATTATATTTGGAGATTTAAGACTAACTTCCTTCCGTTACAGGCATTTCCATATATTATTTGAATAGTTTTTCTAAAATGACAAGTGAATACTTTGACATGAAACTGACTGTGAATAAAATCCATTGTTTATTCACGCCGTGCACACGCAGGATTAATTTAGCACTGTATAAAATATAGTGATTACAGACATTTGTTTCAGCTTTGATTACACATGCTTGAATTTTTTTTTTTAATGCTTATATATATTTGCTAAAATGTATATAGAAGTAATATCTAAAAAGAAACGAATTCAGCACCTAATAGTGATAAGAACAAAAATATCAAATCTTAAATAGACTTTTGTTCCAAACTGTGAATTTATGGCAGACACTTGGTTGGTTTATAAAACTGTGAAAGGGATGATTGAGTTATTTTATTTACATCAAAAGTTCAAAAAAGTGAACCTGTACATATTTTATAATAAAGGGGCACAATTCATCATCAATAGATATCTTTGCATATATATTCACTTTGCGCATGTGCTGGTTTAAACATATATCAGCAGTGGTTCCACTCATGATTCATTAACTTAATTTAACATCAAAGTTAAGAACACCACGGATATCCAGATAAATAGAATGTTAAAATTACACTCTTGTAAAACCTAAATAAAAAACATTACAAATTACCACATCTATACTATGGAAATTATAGCCTTAAAAGGTCAACATTGATGAATTCACATCAGTAGTTAACTATATGTGAAAAAAACTGGATTTTCAATAAAATTCTTTGGTTGAAAGGGAGGTTATACTAAAATACATTACTATGAAACTGAAGTGAAGCATTCGTCAATGGGAAAAGAATGAAGGAAAAAAAAAAAGTTTGAATACCGGCAATCATAAAATTAGAGAAACACCAGCGATTAATAAAAAAATCAAAGTAATGAAAAGTTTATGTACATGTAAAACAAAAAGTAGAGAAGCCATCAAATACATTTTAAGACCAAGTTTAGATAGACTATTTTAAATTAGATAATCCTAAATATTTCATATGCACAGCAGAAAAAGTTGTACAAAAATAGTATTAATTCATTTTTTGTTTCTTAAAAATGTGTAACAATCATATATATTTGCTAAAATAATGTCACTATACAATTATGCATAAGGGACAATTAAGTCCCATTCCTGTATCAACAATCTAAAATGAATATTAAAACTGCCTGCCATTTTAAATTTCTATTTTGAATACAAATACAGCGATTAATTTTTTTCCGGAATTTTTTAACGTTGATACTCTATGATTTTGTTATTAGATTTAAAAAAACCCATTAAAAATGTAAACTTTAAACAAAAATGCTCATTTACCCTTACTGCTTTTACAAAACAGAGCTTTGGTAGCAGCAAAATAACATGCTCAATTACCTTTCTTACCAGGCTAGTCAGATCTATGAGCATTACTAAAGACTTAAAACCACAAGTTACAAAAAAAATGTCAAAATAAAACTGAACCCATTAAAATATTTATAGCCAAGCTTTCAACAAGAACCATAACTCCTCTCCTTTCTAGCAACTCATGTCTGTATAAAGAATGGGGTATTGGTTCTTTTGTTAGGTTAAAAAGACATTGGAAACAATAACTAAGAAAGAATCCCTGAGACAAAAACAGAAGAAATGGAAGAACTTGTACCAAATTGTGGAACAGCATATATTTAAATGATCTATTCATGATATTACTTGATCTACAGCTCAAGCCATGCTAAAGATGAGAAGCAGGGCAAATAGTTACTTTTCATGCATTTCAATGCATCATGCTTTTATAGCAGACTGCTCTAGTCAAATTGGTAGTTTAGTTAACCAAGACAAAGAGTTCTTGGTTTTATCTTACACAATGGAGAAAATTTATCTAAGAAGTAAAATTGACACTTTGCTAATCTTTCAAGGAAGCATTTACCAGCAAAGGTGATGTCAAGCATTTTAACCGATGGGGCGAAAGATTTTTTTTAGGTGTGACAGCTGCAGGGAGAAACAAAATTAAAGAGTCTTCAAACTGAGATAGATTTGCCACTAGGCGACATGCTAGATGCCTACCGAAGTTGTTGATAGTTGAAGCTGTCCCATCTGGGCAGTCAGTTGTGGAATCATGGATGTTGGATCGAGCGTACCGCCCGAACCCGGATGGGTACTGCTGGTTACCATCTGTAAATGAACAGCAGCATCATCAACTAAAGTGGTAAAATTAGATCTAACCCAGGATGGCAGTGCCATGTAAAGAATCTCCTCATTTTCCGGCTCTTGTTTGAAAAGAAAATTCATTCTGTAAGAACGCTCATTTAAATACTGTTGAAGGAGGAGAAAAGGGGGTGGGGGAAGGTGTTATCTCAATGTGATTTTACTTTTATAATGTCAGCCCATATGAACAAATCTTCAGCACACAGGTTCAGAAATGTTAGCTTTTCATATCCAGAACAAACACATGCACTAAAAAGTTCAAAACCAAAATGAACCATGAATAGGTTATTTCAACTTGTGGCTAAGCTTTAAATTAACTCAAAGATCTTGCTAGCAGAACAATTTTTGGAAATGAATAGGTTTACCTCATTTCTTTATGCTCAAAGTCAAGCAAAAAAAATAAAATATACAGGCATTTCAGTAAAAAAACAGAAAAACTTCATGCTTCTGGGGAAAACTAATTAAAAATCAAAGAACATCTTAAAAGTTGCATAGCATAAAAATTAAAACTTCAAATTATTGACTTTGATTTTCAAAAATTAGAAAACCAAAAAATTGCTTCATTAAAATAAGATGAATAATTATGAACAAGATGCACATTCCTCCTTGTATCTATCTACTTTCTAACAATGCATCTATTCATTCATTGGTCCTTCCTCTTCCAGGCAATGAAGTACACAGTTATTTACAGATTTAAAAGTGGCAAAAACAAAGAAATAAAAGCTATAGAAATAATCCTGATGATATCATGACATGTCACCATTTCAGATTTTTTTTTCAATATCCTACACCTTAAATTAAATTATTATTATTCTTACTTTTTTTTTTAACAAAGGACAAAGATCATACCAAAAAGAAGTGAGGATAGGTTGAGATTTGCATTATTCATCACTAATATGATATGACAAAGATAATTTTCAAAACATTTACTTAAAAAATAGAACATGTACACTAATCATACTATAACGTAATACAAAAAAAAAAATTCCATTATTGCTAGTACTGTAAAGTATTTGATTTTATGAGGTTTAATAAATATGCAATTTTTTAAATATAAGTCAAATCTATCACAGCTGCAGAGAAATGATTTCACATTTTTCCAAATTTATTACTGTTGTACATTTAGTTAACTTGTACATTTGAGAAATTGAAAAAACAAAAGACAAGGAAATTACCAAAAGAAAAAATGTACCATCTAAAAATGTGTTTACTGGACCTTTCATAAATAATATAATACAGCTACATCTTCAGGAATTTTCTTTCACTTATTAGACAGTGATGTTAAGTGCAAAGTGGAAAGGGAATTTGAAAAAAAGAATTCTGGTAGCTGGATAGTTCCTCAGGAGTATATATGATATACTAGAAGAAAGCCAGACACCAGAATTATGCATGGGGTCAAAGGTTGAATGTGGGGTAAACTTAGTAAAAACGTAGGAAATAATTCCACAATATCAAAGTAATGTTAAAATGGTCATTTAAAAATTAATCTATGAAGAAATCTGCATAGCTGTACCATAAAAGTATGGACAGATTAGCATGTTTCTCATGCAAAATTTAAAACAAAGAGATAAAAATGAATGGAAAGTTGCAAATTCAAATGATCTAGACCGATGATGAAATGGTTGCAAACAACAAATATGAACAATGAAGACTCTGCCCCACACAGACACACAAGGAAGGCAGGTTGACACAATGAGGCTGCTGTAGTGGTGGTAAGGAGGAGTGCTACTGACAAGGTGTTACATCAGCACACCAGTATCCAGCATGGCGGCCAGTTCAGGGTGGACTGCTGTTGTTGGCAGTATCTGGAGATTAGAGACACCACACTGTTAGCTACACACAGCCACACAACACAACACATGCCAGCACATCAAACAGATAAAACAAAACTGTGCAAGAATGGGTGGGACATGTCACAAAGTCAATGAGTTGAACCCCCATCAATGATATGGGGGATGTTTGACTAATAATATAACATTTAATTTGAAAAATAACCCAATCATGTCATTTATTGTTGTGCTTGTCCATTAAAATACTTGATGTGTTCAGTTTAGTTTAACATGCTAAATATTTAAAAACTAATTAAATATCAGTCCATCCTAACATTTCCATGCACATTTAATACTGACTGACAAATCAACATGTGTTGAAATTCCATGATGACGTCCTTACAAACAAACCAGTTTCATGAAAGATTGAAATCTTAGTAGTCAGTAACCTTACTAAAGCCAAAAATGGAACTTATATGACAGCCAACTTCTCAATACATTATAAGCAGATCTATGCCATCTGACCAGTGAAGGATGGAAATACTAACTTTCAACAATCTCCACCAGAAAAAGGAGCAGTGACCCTGAGATGGAAATTTGCATCAATGTTTTCAATGGAGAGAGATAAATATCATATTTTTTCCTTCTTAATTTGAAAGTTATAGAGAAATTGAGCCCAAGACTTCAAGAACTTTTTAATACTGGTACTTGTAGCAAATTTCTATACATGTTTATTACTTCCCGATGCAAAGAATACCTAATTCTTGCTTTTAATTATTGCAATAATAATCTATTTTAAGGGAAGACTATTCGGACGAGACTAGCAGTCCATAATTCATTCTGCAGTCCTTCAAAGGAAGCGACTATGACTACATACCTGGCCAGCAGTTTCAGCTTAGATAGATCAAGTGCGGATGTAATAAAACCCAGAATCAAGAAGGCCACTGCCATCTTCAGAAGACTAAAGAAGATTGGGAAAATGAGAACTGTCAAACTAAAATTAAAAATTATATTTTACAGCAGATACTGGAAAATAGTGACGATGCTTGTGACGATGTTTGTGACGATGTTTTGCATGGAACATTTATTAGTGTCATGACAAACATACCCACAATAATCCGCAATTAAGTAAACCACTTTTAGGCTTAGAAAACATTTCATAATTTGGCAGAAAAGGCAATTAACCATTCTATTTATGATATGCTATTGTAACAGGAAAATCTTAAAAGTTACAAAATTTGAATTTTAAAATTTTTTCAAGACTTCCTGCCAGAAAATATAGTGCCTGATAAGAATCTGAATCTATTTTTTTTTACCTATCTGCAACCATTAGGTTTTCAGTATTAATTTTCCTTAAATTCATTTCGACACAGATGGAAAAGAAATTTTGATGGTATCAAGAATTATTGATAACTTGAACAAAAGAAGTAAAGGGAGAACATAAGAGGTTAAGATAAAGGAAGTAGGCCCGTACATGTCATTTCATGACAATATAAAAAAAAAAAAGAGTCTTTTTAACATTTGTCAGTCATCCATTATGTTTGACTTTTACAGAGTAAAAAAATATGTTTCTATCTTGAAAGGAATCCACACATGATGTTTCAGTAGATAGACTATATACATTTTTTAATTATTTTTTTTAAACCTATATTTAGAAAACATTTATTTTGAAACTGTTACTATTAAAAAAATTGAGATTTTATGCAACATTTCTTTTTCAAATATATCTCCACTCAGGGTTATATTAAAGATTTCCTGCAAGCAATACATCTCAGTTTCTATACAATGTCCAAAATAATTTTGTTTTTCTTCCTTCTCATGCAGGCAGGCTTTTTTAAAATGTCTAAGTTTGGTGTGAATAATAGTAAGGGATCAATAAATGCAAAGAGAACTATTACACTCAACTAATTTTTATTGAACTACTCTTAGTTTCTTTAATTTTTTTTTTTTTTTTAAATCTTATTTTCAAATTAATTATAGGTCAGTCAGTAAATTTTATTGAGTCTAGGGAAGGTAAAAATATTTTTTTTATCATAAACAGTGCATTGCACCCAGCAATTAATTAGTTTCAAGTTGATGACAATGTGACATAAAACATGCATAACAACATTGAAATGCACTAAATAAAGTAGTCAAGCACATCCACTTTACTCAAGATGACCATGCATTTTACTTAATAGATTAAAAAATGGTGCATGTTTTAGGGGTCAGGCAAAGTGGTGAAATTGAGCAACCAGTTATGTAAAGCTTAGTCTAATTAACTCAAGAAGAATTGAGATATTTCTGAATTTATTTAAATATTTTACTATTTCCCATAATTATCTATTGCCTGTTAGGTTTAATTAAAAAAACAAACATGCATAGCCTTTTCAGCCTCTCTTTTCTGATAGTAGACCATGCAAATATTACAGCACTTTATGTTTATTATGATGTAAGTGTGTTATGAGATCTTAACCCTAAAGACGCACATTCCCACATTCCCACTTATTATGCAATAAATAAGTAAGTTTATCAAGTGGTATTACTTGTAGCACAACCAACATGCTTGTGATTCGATGTTCAGCTGAAGATAGTTTTATTCCAAATAATAATTAATGTATAATTGAAATCATAAGGAATGACCAACTTTACAATTTTATATGGGTCTAAATGAAACAATTTGGTTACCACAAATTATTAATGAAACTTTTGGTAAGAGCCTGATAATGGATACATTTTTTAAACAAGAAAAGAAAAAGATTTATGAGAACCAAGGTAGAAATTTAAACAATACTTACATGTGGCATTTGATGAGGCTGTACCAAATACTGAGGCATCCAGCCGGTGGCAGCAGGATTGGAGGACATCTGATAGGTGGTTACTGGTGTTGTGGCTGCTACTGATGTGTAACCTCTAGGCATGAGCCCAGCTGGCATAATTGTTGGAGTTGGCACACCATAGTTAATAAATTGCCTGAGAAAAAAAACAACAATAATAGCACAATAAATAAAGAGTGGGGATAAAAGATAGGGGCATGTTGTTATATCAAATTATATAGATTATGTAATGATTAGAGGCCATCCATATAGGAGGCCGGGGGGGGGGGGCAAGTGGTCAAGAATTTTGATTTTTGTTTGTTAGGGAAAAAAGAGAAGGAAAAGGGGGGGGGGGGGTTCAATTCAGCCCCCCAAAAATGAAGCCATGTATGGTACCTTACTTAACTTAGTAACAATAGCCAGGAGAAACTCCATACATTTTGAGCCTCATCCATTAAAATACATTTACTTCATAGTAATAAACACAAATATTAAAGCAGCCAGGAAAAAGTTAATGGAATTAATACACAATTTTCCAATGATTCCATTTAAGCTTACCCATTTAAATTAGCTGCTAGTGCTTGCTGTTCGTATGCAAACTGCAGTGCCTGTACAAAAATAAAATTATACATTAATCAACTAAATAAGTCTATTTGTTTAAGTTTAAATTATTTCAACTTACTACTTTTTTTATTTTGTCCTGTCTAATTCAAGTTTAGCATACCTTTTTCTTATATTTCATGTACTTTTTATTCCATTTGTTACAAGTTAAATAGCTATCTTTTATAATTTTAAGTTTAAGGAGACTACATTTAAACAAAAATAAAACAGGTTAAAAAAAAATAATGTGAAAAGAGACATAGGTGATTTTTCTGGAAGATTTATATAAATGCATTTGATTACTTACAGAAATACTTGCATCATCACGACCAGGTGTAAAAAGTCGAGGGGTTAGAGCTGGAGTTGCAGTCTTTTTCTTATTTCCACTATCGGCAAATTTGACTAACAAAGGCTCTGCGCTGCCTAAGATTGTTTTTAAAATAAGAGAAAATGTTAATTTTACACACATCTAAAAAATGTAATAAACTATCTTAAAAGCATGAAGATATTTTGCTGAAGTTTTTTTTAGATTAAATCTTTTAAAGATTATTAAATATTTAATGGACTGTTGATAGCACTTTTTTGTACAGATATATGGCTGTTTGTAAACTTCAGATTTCTGAAAACAACAATCATTGATAAAATTTATTTCTGATTAATGTAGTTTTTTTTATATTGATCATACCTGGCAACATCTTGTTATTAAATGCATTTATAATCTGGTCACATTTCTCTTTTGATTCCATTCTAGCAAAGCCAACACCTCTACTCATGCCATCTGGTTTACGAAGAATTCTAGTGGAAATTACTGTCCCATACTCCTTGAACATATTTTCTAGATTTTTCTCCATAAAGTATATGGGTAGATTGGCAATGTACAGGTTGGTAGGGTCCTGCTCTTGTTGCTGATGGGAATAAACATGTAATTTCTATGAGAAGTTGGGTCACACCCATTAAAGGCTATACCCCATTGTTTTTTCAAGGAGGACTACAAAAGCAAACAAGATATGTATTGAAGATTAGATAAAAAAATAAAGATTTGGAATAAATTTGAAACTTAAATAAATATTAACTCTATAAGGAAATAAAATTACTGACTGGCTAGTTGTGGGTATGAAAACATTTATCGGATATACTGCTGCTAGCCATCTTATAACAATAGGCCTAAATCTTTAATTAAACACAAGACAGCTGAATTGCAGTATTTAGCCTATTGTTTAACCTGTTTATAATACCTATTTTTTTTTTATTTTAAAAACTTTAAAAAAAATAAAAGGTCAGCAGTTTAGTGAGAAGTCCATTATAAATGGGTTTTTTTTAACAGAGAAGGAGTTTTATCGGATATGTCCTTATTTAACCACCCAAAAATTAAAAAAACTTAACATATCAGAAATTAATGAAGTATATAACACCTTCACATGGGCTGTGATATTTATTTTTCTCCTGACATTAAGTGACATGTTACTAACACTAATCATCCAGGACTACGGTATTTACTATTTTATTAGTTGGAAGGTCCTGGTTGATTATTGGGTAAATGTTTTATTTAACCCCCTGACCTTAGTACTTTCAACCTTCTTCACAAGGGACCAGTTCTGAGGGACGTGTTCAACCGTCAAGGTGAGGGGCTGAGAAGGGTATAATGTTTGCCTAAAGATCTTTCGAAAATGTTTCACTGACAGCAGTAACATCTACCACGGGAGGGTTTCTTATCACTAGGACAAACAAACGCAGACCCGCAAATCTCGGCATGCGGGCAAACTCCTCAGATCCAACAGGTCTTCCAGAGATTTACAAGTCAGCCTATGGCGTCCGGCCAGCGGGGAAAAAGGGGGGGGGGGGGGACAAGAGAAAACACGTTTCTGGCTAATCTTCGGCTCGAACTCAATGAACGAGTAATATAATGCCAGCTACGGAATGTGCTTTCTACTCTCTGTACCTTTATTGTGAACTGTTGTAATCGATTTCGTTATCGGTGCCAGATTTCTGTTCAAACAAAAGCCGAAAAGCTCATGAACGATATCTGGCCAGAAATACGACTATCGGATATATTATAGACGTCTTCAGAATGGAATTCGATCCCGTTCTTAAGAAAAGATAATACGTTTCCCTTTGTGTAGTTCCGGTAATGTCGCACTCTTATTTATTTACCTTTTAATTTTTTTTTTTATAACTTAACTTAGCCGTGGCCAACATGCCACGAAGCCCCAACTTAATGACAAGTTTACACTTGCTGGAATGCTACTAGTTGCCATTGAGAGTGTTTATTTTTGAAGGAGTGGATAAAAGATTAAATGTGCGTGGTCTCACGCTTTTTACATTCTCAGTGCGTTTTTTGTTTTTGTGGTCACTGGTTTCTGATTTATATCCTTTTTCGATTGACTTCAAGATTTTAACCATGTTCGAGGTTTTTTTTTAAATTTCGGCTGGCTGATATCCGGATTAGCCGGATTTCTCCGTAAATTGACATTTGCGGCTAATGAAGTAATAAAACTTCAGCAATTAAACACTTTTACAATACTTCAGAAAAAGTTGTATTATTTCAAACAATAGAAAAAACCCCACATTTTTATATGCGGTCCTACTAATACCGTGCATGAATGCATTCCATTCATTCAGTTTCTGTCACTCAATACCTGATACCTTAAAACGGAACGCCATGAAATGTAAGAAAGCAAAAATATTACGTTACGGCGACTCGTGCATTTTTCGGCGGATGAAATACGGCGGCTCATGGGCGGCGCCCCCCATATTTTCTGGCGGATTTTTGGCGGACGAAAATTCGGGGGCGTATTCGGCGCGGCGTCGGCTGAGGGGTCTTCTGAGGGGGGTCTAGTTGGAGGTTCGGTCAGTTTAAGCTTCATCGACCGGATAATTATTCTAAAAGGTTGAATGATTGGAATCATTCAGTCGCACACATACGATTTAGAGTAGCATTCACCCTTTTCAGCATGTTTGACACACTTAGGGATTTTTCTTCTTCTTTTTAAAGGTATTCCTCAATTAATAAATTTAATGTGTGAACATTTAACATCATTTTAGTTGGAAGGACACCCAGCAAACACTGTGTCAATTTAAATGGCTTCTGATTCTATAAAAAGATTAAGAAAGCAAGCTATGAATGAACCATCAAGTGGTTGGATCAATAACATATAGGCATATTTATATCTACACCAAGCTTAACAGCATTTGATATTAGTCTTAGGAGCCACATTATCGGTATCTGTGATAGCGGACCACAGGATAACATTTTTAAAGGAAGAAAATTAAATCTAAACTCTAGTTAGTTATGTTATTAAATTTAATGTTGTGTGTATGTTTTATCTTACACTAAGGACGTAACTGCTATCGCTGTGGGATTTAATCGTTAACAGTACCGATAGTGAGACTGGGACAGACAGTACCGATAGTGAGACTGGGACAGACAGTACCGATAGTGAGACTGGGACCGGACCACGTTACTCGAGTGTCAATGGAAGACTAGCCACGAAATAAGATGGGTTTATTTTGAAAAAGTGGGGCTGGGGAGGTGCCATTTTAACAATGAGCTGGTATTAGGATATATTATATAATCTACAGAGGGCGCCTGGGGGGGGGGGGATTGTAGCAGGATCGGACTCATTCATGATTCCAAACATAGAAAAAAAGTAATTCATTTCAAATGATTAAGTTCTCAGCAATTTCCTGTTGCCACCCCCACACCTCCTGGCCAGGAAGCTTGTTTCCATGGACGCCATGGTATGTTTAAAAAAAAAAAAAAGCCTTTAATAATAGTAGTAACAGTAGTCACGAACAGACCTTAAATGTTTTGTTGCTAGACGTAAGACCACGGCGTTACTATACAGTACCTACAAGTACACAAACTATTCAGTACTGACAACTACACAAACTATACACTGTCTACAATACCTACACGTACACAAACTATACAGTACCTACAAGTACACGAACTATACAGTACCTACAAGTACACGAACTATACAGTACCTACAAAGTAGGCCTACACGGTAGCCGGTAGGGGCGAGCTTGACATAATTGAAGGGAAGCGCTTAAAAAAACAGCCCTGGTTTAGACTTCACATGGAAACTATGCGATCATTTAGAATTCACGACTTAGACTGGCAAAACAGGTCAACAAAATGTTGCCACTAGACTGGCAAAACAGGTCAACAAAATGTTGCCACTAGACTGGCAAAACAGGTCAACAAAATGTTGCCACTAGACTGGCAAAACAGGTCAACAAAATGTTGCCACTAGACTGGCAAAACAGGTCAACAAAATGTTGCCACTAGACTGGCAAAACAGGTCAACAAAATGTTGCCACTAACGCCATTTCAAAGCCGGTTGTTTTCTGCCTTCATCCACTATAATAGAAAGAAAAAAACAATCTACGTTTTGTATGCTTTACAGCGTGGGCGTCACAATTTAAAAAAAAAATAAAATAATCAGGAGCATACACACACATACATACACACGCATACACACACGTGCGGGAATAAAGGAATGGGAGCAATTTTTACGCGCCATTTTTAACTGCGTCTATTTATAAATGTTCGAATATGAGAAGATAACGCGACTAGAGCCGCACTACTCCAGTATGCGTGGCATTGATCTATCCCAGCAGAAGTGGAGTATTTCATTGGTCATGAGAGTCGGATGGAATATTATAGTTTAACATTAAAAACCTCTACACTCATATTCTTATGAATCGGCGGTGGTGGAGATTTTGAGCTCTTTTATAATTATGACGTTCTTGGGTCCAGCAAGATCTGCTTCTGGTGAGCCAGGTGACGACAATGACTTAAGACATGCATATGCGCGGTCAACTCGGTTTCATTTACGTCATTGCAAGCAGTTTAAATTCTAAACTTTAGAACTTGATGTGTTCCAACCCGCCCCTACCTCTCTCTCTCTCTCTCTCTCTTTCAAAGTCACGTGATTCTATCTACCCACTTATTGGCTGATGATACATTAGGATGAATAACTCCTCTGCCCAGCACCCACCACCTATGGAAAATGTTGCGTCTTTTGCCAGTGACGTCACCTACGATAAGCTGCACGCGGTTATCATTTTTTGGTGTAGACGTTAGTTAAGATAATAAATGATAGAATACAAACTATCAGATTTATGTACAGGCAATAAATAAATAGGGTTCGCCCCATAACACAATTTTCATAGGCGCATAAACTAAACAGTAAAATTCGTATTTTTAAAAACTATTTGATTTTTAAGTTTGAGTTATAGTTAAAACATTTTTCTTAAAAGTTCACATAATTTTATAAAGATGTTTAACTGACGAAAATCTAAAATACACACACATACATACAATGCTTCAAAATTGCTTAAAATTTTAATGATTACTCCACGATTGTAATCATCTTGATAGTAAACAATCTGGTATATTAGATATTATTATTTTATTCCAGCATCAATCTCAGAAAGCACCGCCCAGAATGAATGGGGAATTAATATTTTGAAAAACTCCGGAAATCTCAACCATAAGAACAATAAACTTTGACGCCCATGCACAGCCTTTTATCATCTAAGTCTATGTGAAATCCTAGAGAACTCTTGTCATGGAACATCCAACAGATATTTATATATGATATTTATGAGCACATGTCCACCGAATAGTGCTCTGGAATCATCAGGCGCACATATCCAACCACACAGAGGCACCAGTGCTCTGGACATCAAAAGGAGCGCATCTCAACCACATGCTCAGATGCACCAGTGCTCTGGACATCACTAGGAGCGCATCTCAACCACACAGAGGGGCCGGTGCTCTGAGCCTGGCTTCAAACTCCTTAATTTTTTTGTAATTACGGAAATCCTGTCGTCTGTTCAGAAAAAAGATGGCCGTGTTCCTTTCATCCCGGGTCTAGATGATGTTAACAGCCATATTATCTCTCGAATGTTCTCTGCTTTAATGTCCGTACCCGTTCCCCTCACCCCATGTAACAACTTAATTGGCCAAGAGCGTAGGCCTACGCCAAGAGAGTACAAGTCTACACTGTTTCTGATGTTCAGCAAGCAGCTAGCTATTCCAAATGTTTCCACTAGGAAATAGCTGCCATGGCATACAAACATAGATCTGGAATTTCTCTTAGTAGATTTTTTTTTTCTTCAAAAAATGAGATTGGTAGGATAGTTAGTGCAGTCTGGTGTATTAGAAGTTACAGTGTTTAACAATAAAACTCACTTTGGCCATCTGAGCCTGAATGCCTTGGTTCTGTAGAGCCTGGACCGCTAATTCTGCTGCTTGGGGGTTCTCAAAGTCCACAAAACCATAGCCTGGGGAACAGCATGAAATATAGACAAGTATAAAATATGGGTCGGTTTGTAATCAAATCAAAGTATAAAGCTATTGGATATGAAGAAATTGTAACTGATCACAAACGGAGGTGTCACACAACAGAAGTCACATACAAACAGTATCACTCTCTAAAAAGAAATATATTCAGCATAATTTTAAGCAACCTCCTACAAAATTGATCTTGATCTGCTCTACTTTCAACAAAACTTATTTTACGTCTTTTTTTTTGCAGTAACCAATCACGATGGCAAAATCTAATTATAACTTTTCATTACGCTGTCACCAGAATCACATTGTTTTAAAAAAAAATTCTTTTTTTAAATAATTTTTTTTTTCTTTGAGTAGCAACACGCGTATGACAGACAAGTGTGCTGCAGCTGGCCATGTGTGCTGCAGCTGGCCATGTGTGCTGCAGCTTGCGTGCTGTTTGACATGGCCGCGGGCTACCCTCGTTGTTAGAAGATGAATAAAGCGTTATGCAGCCATGAGCCATAAAAGGCAACAGCCCATGAATATAAATGACGATCAAAGTTAATATAATTAACAATGTGGCCGTGGTGCCGGGGATGCTATCTGGCTTGCCATTCTGGCCAGATGGTACGGTGATCAAATGTGATAATCAAGTGACTCTGAAACGCTCCTAGGAGTGGTTTCAAATAACTAATATGTAATTTTTAACACGGTCAGAAAGCTGAATGTTTTATGAAAGAGCCATTCCAACCCAAAGTTTAGCAAGCGGACCCTGCCAGGTTATCGTGACAGCAGGATAGTAGAGTACACCAGATGATAAAGTGTGGGAACCACTGATATTGTATTTGTTTGAGGATTATTTATACATCAAACTGATCCACAAAAAAAAAAAAAAAAAAATTTTTCAGTTTCACGCTCCTTTCAATAACGGTTATAAATTTTTTTAAGGATGAGATGCTATGGGGGGAAATGGGGTGAAAAGGGGTGCTATGGGGTGCTATGGGGTGAAATGGGGTGAAATGGGGGAAATGGGCTGCTGTGGGGTGCGCGTACACTGATTTGCAGATTTCATTTTAAAATATTATTTTTTCAACAACACTGGACATAGAAATGTCAGAAATTTAAGTCGAGGGAAAATATAACATGTCCCTACTAATCCCTTATATACATAAAATAACCCACCACACGCAGTGTTGAAATGAACCCACATAATATTCTTTTGGAATTCTTATGTACTCAAACCCACTAACTACTAACTATAGGGAATCAAGAAAACATAATTGTGGAGGATAAACTCCCTTATCTCAACTCTATTACAGAAAACAATTTAACATAAAAATCTATATATTTATATATATATATATATATCTTCAGCTAACTGTTATCCTGCAATAAGACCAATGAAGCAATACAAAATTAAAACTGGAATTCTCTCTAGGACGGGGGGGGGGGGGGGCGGCCAACCTTGTCAGCAGGCGGGCCAAATTTCAGAAATCACATTTCCTGCGGGGCCACTGACCTAATATCAAAAAAAAAAAATTAAAGTAAACAAGCAAGCGTGCTACAGCTTTGACCACATCGTCGCTTCCCAGATGGTGAGACCGTGGTCAAAAGCTTGCCTGGTTTAATGTAAAAAAAAACCAAAAACAAACAACCAACCCAAGAAATAGGTCTATTTATTTTTTTGAAGAAAATACAGCATAACTGAGAATAAAAAAAAATGTATTTGACAATTTAAAAATATTTGAAAGGGAAACGTCTGACTTTGTTTTGCAGAACTAAGTGCATCAAAATTGACCTCGACTGATGTTACCACTACACGCACATGAACATCAGTAATCCGTGTTCGCACTTGTGATTAGATTTGCTTCATACGACTAAAAAGCTATTCACATACATACTCGTTTCCAAAGAGCGAAACCATCGACAGAGCATTTTTGTAAAACGGAGGATGTTTATTCTTGTCTAAATAAGTGTTATAGAACTCTTCCAAACCAACTTGATGGAATGTCTCCTTTAACTGTGTATCACAACACATTTCACAATGTTCCACTTGTAATCTTCCTGGTTATAAATTCACGTCTACCGCGAATGGCGTTGTTGCAAATGCACAAAGAAGCACGTGATGGTTTTTACAATCCTGAAATCGGTTTTCAAATTCGAGGTTTAAATCAGATGTCAAAGAAACGTATTTATTTGCCGCCTCCTGTGTGACGTCTGGTTGCCATGACAATGGAGGAAAGTGAGTCAAGTTCTTTGACCCGAATTGTTGTTCCCACCGACAAAGTTTGAAATGCAGGAATATGATCATACATCTTATTAATTAATTGATCTTCCCCCTGTAGACGAGTATTAATGTCATTTAGGTGGCTAGTTATATGGACAAGAAATGCAAAATCGCAAAGCCACTCTTTGCCTTCAAACTCTGGGATACTTATTGATTTGATTGCAAAGAATGATTGTATTTCTTGCTTCAAATCAGACACTGTTTTCAACATTTTGGCACGGGTCAGCCATCTTACGTCTGCAGAAAATGTAACGTCATTATAATCTGAGTCCAAAGACTTTAGAAATTCTTGGAGCTGACGGTGATTCAACCCGCTCGACTTAATGAAGATCATTATTTTGACGACCACCTTCATCACATGGTCCATTTTGAGGGACTTCGAACATAAACTTTCTTGATGACTAATGCAATGAAAATTTCGCATTGAGGTATTAGCGACTTTGAAACTCCTCATTTTCAAACAATTTGACTAAACCTTCATGTTTCCTAACCATTACTGGAGCACCATCCGTTGTCAAGCTCGATAAGTTGTTAAGTTGTGTGTGTTATCTCTGCTTTCATCCAATGCTAGAGCATAAAATATAAACTCGGATCCCCGACTTTTCAAATTATCTTCAATATGTTTTCCAATGACGTCCAAACACCTAGTAACTGTCTGACAGACTTATTTTTGAGAAATCCTTTTCTGGACACAGAATTTCAACGACGCTCTCGAAACATTCCTTAATCATTTCACCATCTGAATATGGCTTCGATTTCTTTGCCAGCATCATTGCTACTGCATAATTAACTTTTACATTGCTTGTTTAGTCTCGTAATGCCGTTTGATGTTATACTCTTTCAAAACAGAAACTAGTTCGTTGAATATCAAACATATGGGTTTTGTTTTAATTTCCACGAAAAAAAATGAGTTTATAGTAGGCTACAAAGCTCTCCAGACACAGAGGCGATAATAGAACGAAAGTACAGAATAACACGGAACTTGATTGAAAGTAGTTTTGAGTATGAGCCTGATAGCGTTGTGATACTGAAAGTAGTTTTGAGTATGAGCCTGATAGCGTTGTGATACTGAAAGTAGTTTTGAGTATGAGCCTGATAGCGTTGTGAGACAGAAAGTAGTTTTGAGTATGAGCCAGATGGCGTTGTGAGCTTCCGTAAGACGCCGAATACCTCAGAACATATATATCAGAAGTTGAAGACTCATATCAAATGTCATCAACACCTATGGTCGGACTAAAAGCTAAGTAAACTTAATAAACTTAAGTGTCAGCGGGATAACTGAAATAGCTAAAATCTATGAATTTTCCAGAAAATGAGGGATATTTAAAATTGCTCAAAGCCAATGATTTTTTTTTTTTTTTAAATGCGGGGGTATTACAAATTTATCTTAGCTATAATAGCTATAATGTATAAATATATGATACGAACGAGTCATGATGTAATGTTATCTTAGTTGGGGCCTCATGTTGGCGACCCCTGCTCTAGGACATTTTATAGAAGCCTAAAGCCAATCCCTTTAACCTGCGAGTAGACTTAGCTAGCTATGTATTTAAGCTCAGAGAACGTGTGTAAACTGTAAATCAATGAAAGCTATTCTAACCAGGGTCCTAGTCATGTGTAACTAATGTTGGACCACTTGAGCCTTCGCTCAAATAAATCAAGCCAATGTACTATTGATTTTTGTATTCTATTTAAAACCAATGCAGCCCAAAAAAATGCCAAGACACGGTAAGGGAAATGTGAATCAAGACACAGTTTGTGATATGTTAATCAAGACATACCAGGTAAAATGGGAATCAAGACACAGTAGGAGAAATGGGAATCAAGATATACGAGGTGAAATGGGAATCAAGACACAGTAGTGAATTGGGAATCAAGACACAGTAGTGAATTGGGAATCAAGACACAGTAGGAGAAATGGGAATAAAGATATACGAGGTGAAATAGTAATCAAGACACAATAGGAAAAAGAAACAGTAGTTGACAAGTGAATCAAGCTTCGTCTTATAGCTGAGCAACTCTGCTACATGACCCAAGTATTTTGTCCTGTAGTTTGTACTAATAGGATGAACGCCTGCAATGCCCCCCACCCCCCCACCCCCCCTGAAATCAAATCAATCCTCCAGAAAGTAATTAATGTAGACGTTGGTCAAGTGGGAAGGTGGTCAAGGAATGGCATAAAACTGGACCTGGTACACATCTGGACTCGGTATAAACCTGAACTTGGTATAAAACTGGATTTGGTATAAAACTGGACCTGTCACAGCCGGTAGTAGTTAAAACTATAGGATCTACAACTGTAGGACTCTTGTTGTAAAACATGTGGTGATAATATATGTTACCATAATTCTTGTATTTTTTTTTTTTTTTTTTTTTTTTAAAGAAATACTTTTTCCTGATACAAATTTGCTTTAAATCATGGGACAACACAGTGACAAATTACATAATCTAATTACTGCTACAAACTGTCACAAACAGACACACATACACACACAGACAGAGAAAAACAACACTGAACAGCTGTTACCTTTACATTTGTTTGTTGTTTGGTCTATGATGGCTTTTGTTGAGGTAATTTTTCCGAACCTGGAAGACATTAACAACATTCTACTGTACGTCATGTTTCAACTTATTCTAATTTTAAACCCAATTTAACCTAATTTACCCTGATCAGCTTGTAAAACATGAAGACAATCAGTTTAGGAGCAAACGTTCATTCTGGTAGAGTTTTAATATGCTACAGTCTCATTTATAATCATAATACAATTTCAATATGCTACAGTCTCGTTATAATTATGATACAATTTCTATATTACAGTATTTAGTTTCAGAATTGATTTTAAAATCTTTTTTAAAAATTTGCATTAATCCTATATTTTTTGCTTGTAAAATACAATTTTGTTGAAATTGTTCAACGAAAGGGAACAGGCCTCTTAAGCCTCACGTGATGGCAAAATCTAGGGCTTTTTTGTAAATAATTTTTTTAATTTTATGATTACTTGTTCACACGTTATTTTATTATGTTGTTATATATTAAAAATAAAACTGTGCTATGAGAATAATCTATTGTGTTTGCGAGTAATGTATTGTGGTATGAGAGTAATCTTTTGTGTTTTAGAGTACTCTATCATGCTATGAGAGTCTAAAGTAATCTATTGTGTTTGAGAGAGTATGAGAGTAATCTATTGTGTTTGAGAGAGTATGAGAGTAATCTATTGTGTTTGAGAGAGTATGAGAGTAATCTATTGTGTTTGAGAGTTATCTATAACCCAAAATAGCCAGAATGTTAAACATTTGAACTAAACTCAAGCCCATTATCAATTTTTCATGATTATAAAATAGAAGATTATAAAATAGAACACGTGACATGGTGTGGCAAAGGAAAAGGTCAATACCTGAAGCTATAAATTAACTAATCATTGAATTATAACGACAAAATATTATGGTTCGTGTGAACTGAACACAACAAATCTGAAAGATAACCCAAAGGCTAAACCCTATTTAAAAAATTATATGTGAACAAAATCTTGTTTCCAGTGTTAGTTTATAAAAAGTAATAAAATATAGTGAATATATGATATATGTTTTAGATTCGCATTTGTAATTTATAGAAGGTTGCAATGTGTAATGATACTGTGAATGGTTGTAGCATATGTAATGAGAAGTGGAAATATATGAATTCTATAATTTAATGTTGTTGATAAATACACGGGGTTAGTTTAAAAAAAAAAAATTGATTTAATGCAAGTTTTTAATACTATGACATCACCATTAAGTTCAATCTTTTTTAACTGAGATAACAATGTTGAATTTTGTTACTTGACTATTCATTTCATATTTTAGGTGAACTTCCTCTCATTTTGTATATGATGATATAAAATAACGTCACATATTTTACAGGCCCGGCATGAATAACTAGTTCTTATTCTCTGCATGATGGCAGGATATATATTTTTGACATGCTCTTATAATTAACATGATGGTAGGACGTCACTTACGAGTTACATAAATTGACCAGGTCCTTGTCTGTGGTGTTAGGGTTCAAACCTCTGATGTACAGATTCGTCCTACTTAAGGGCTCTCCAGACTGGCTCTGGTTGGAGGACTGGCTTGAGGTGGTGTTGGGACTGTTGGCCGGCATGCTGCGAGAAGGATAGTTCTGAAATGGACAAAACAGACAGACCGTAAGATGTTGTTTCCTATTGTTGAGTCAAAGAACAGGAATAAAAACTATTGTCCTGCTAATTTCAAAGACACAGTTCATGTCTTTTTTTGAGAATTGCCAATGTTGATCTCACAATTTGTTTTTGACAAATTGCATTTTTCTTTGTGTGTCAGAGAATGTAACATAGAAAATGAAATCTAAGAGAAATTTAGGAGTCAAGTACTATAACAGCTTTTCTCTCCTGGATTATTAGGAAACAAATTTTTAAAAACATTTTTAATGTATTTTTAAGGTTTTCTACCGCAGTATTTGATTTTAGTACAAGGGGAAGCACACCAATCATGTTAGTTGGGATATCAATCAATGTCAGGTCCAAAAGTAGCCTAATCAATGACAGATCCAATAGTAGCCTATTTTTAATCAATTCCAGGTCCAATATCAGCCTAATCCAAGAAGTGTCACATAAAAATTTGATAACTCACAAGTTTTACGTACATGAAAACCACCAACCCTTTGTTAACGCAACATTAAGCTACGGTAAAATCAACGAGGCGGGCCAAGATCAAAACTGAGCAGAACTAAGCGTAATCCAGCACCCACCAGCCGTCTGCGTTGTGGCATACTGGGGTTCAGAACTGACCAGTTCCTGGAAACCGTTAAATCCTGACGGGGCCGCTGACCAGACGAGGTACTGGAGTAATCGAGCCTCCCCCTGGCCGACATTGACGAACACTGCCTGACTTAGAACAACCTACAAACCAGTTAGAACATGACCGGACACAACCTGTAGCCGCAGCTGGCCAAGAGATCTCCAAACACAGAGTTCCCGAATAGGGCCTGGACGGCGTTAAATAGGGACTAAGGTTATCAGGCGCGGGCTTCGGATGATACGAAGGTACACACCGGGGCGCTATCTGCCGATATCTCAACGATATCTTAACGGGATTTTGAAGGCCCTTGAACACGGTTGATTATCTCGTTAAATTGGATCATTAAATCATCGATATGCAGCGTCCGCCAACGCATGGAAACAAATTAAACGTAACACATCGCTTGTTTTTTTTTTTTTGACGCTGGTTCATACTCCATTTGTAATCCTATCAGCTTGAGTCGCAATGAGGGGGGAGAGTCATATCCAGTGGGATATTGTAGAAAATGTGTCATTTTTTAATATTTTTTAGTGCTTTTTTTTTTTTTTTTTTTTAAACGCATGGAAACAAATTAAAGGTAACACATCGCTTGTTTTTTTTTTTTGACGCTGGTTCATACTCCATTTGTAATCCTATCAGCTAGAGTCGCAATGAGGGGGGAGAGTCATATCCAGTGGGATATTGTAGAAAATGTGTCATTTTTAAATATTATTTAGTGCTGTCTTTTTTTTTTTTTTTTACCTAATAAATAACAAAACACAACTGGAAGCACTCATTTTGGGTTTACGCCCCTGCATACAAATATGCCCAATCAAAGGAAGATTATCACAATTCAAGATTGGTTTAATCATAATTTGTACTCATTTTAAAATATTTTAAGCGAAACCTATTTCATTTAACTGCTATATTCGACTAATTACTTGACTTTCATTTAACTGCTGTATTCGACTACTTACTAGACTTTCATTTAACTGCTGTATTCGACTACTTACTTGACTTTCATTTAACTGCTATATTCGACTATTTACTTGATTGACTCTCACCCAGCCAGACAAGATGCACAGATCTCCTGCCAATCACCTGCAGCTCAGAACGTTATCAATTCCTATTTTATTTTTATTTGACCTTTCAACCCAAGCCCAATGTAAATCATTTTAAAAAGAAACAATACAGAAAGAAAATCGTCACGTTTCTGTTTATTTTCCCCCCTCCATAACCGTCTCAAAGCTTCGATGATAACTAACCACATTATCAACGTTGACTAGCCAGCATCCCAGACTTACATCCCGACCACCCCTCGCCCCAACACACAGGCTTTCTTTGATTAATAACAGGCCTTATTATTATTGTAAAGTAAACGTGGTGTCAATAATTGACAGCGCCACAGCCACACGTCATTGAAAAGTTGGCCGAGCCGCGCCGTCCCGGCCCAGAACAACCCGAAACTTGAGCACGGCCAGTGAAACCTTAGCTCCTCATGCAAACAATGTGTTGTCTAGGCCACGAAAAGTAGCACCCCCCGAAAAGGTCAAGGGTCACAAAACACATGGATGTCACAGAATAAGATTGTGCATTCAACGAAATAATACCTTTTTTTCTTTAAAGTTTAGGAATGGAGACGAATCATAATAAGGGTCAAGGGTCATAGTTATAAGTTTATTGGCTGGGTCTACTTTAACTTAAGGGGAACTTTTAAATTAGGGCCCATGCCATAGAAGTGACATAGAAGCAATAGTGAAGAAATACATTCATATGTTGCTGCTCCTCAGGCTAATTAATTAATTGATTAAAATTGTAACGTATGAGGAAATATATGGCACCAATTCACAATGTACAACTGTGTGATGCTGGAGATGACGCACTGCTAACTTTGATTGAACGTTGCAGCAGTCATTTAGTGGTGCTACACACATACTAAACATGAAAGGAACACATCAATGAGAAGGGAGACCCCATTAGTGAGAGGGGAGACCACATTAGTGAGAGGGGAGACCACATTAGTCAGACGGGAGACCATATCATTGAGAGGGGAGACCACATGAATAAGAGGGGAGACCACATGAATAAGAAGACAGACCACATGAATGAGACGGGAGACCACGTGAATGAGAAGGGAGACCACTTCAGTGAGATGGGAGACCACATGAATGAGAAGGGAGACCAGATCTATGAGAGGGGAGACCAAGATTCTTTCTAATATTGACATTCAGTCCAAATGTAAAAGTGTCCCTTTTAGGCCTAAAAGGTGTGCCGCTAGGAGATGAAGGTCTGCCGCTATGAGATGAAGGTGTGCCACCATGAAATGAATGTGTGTCACTATGAAATGAAAGTGTGTCCCTATGAAATGAAGGTGATTCACTATGAAATTAAGGTGTGCCGCTATCAAATGAAGCTGTGATCTGCCTTGTTGTAGCCATGGAATGAATGTTTCAACCTTCAAGTAGTTCCAGCGGAAAGTGAACAAATCCATGCACCACTAAATTCTGTCACGGATTGATAAACTTTTTTTGGTACGCACCGGAGCTTTACAAAACACGCCTACCACCTGACATTGTGTAGGTTTTAGGTTGCAATGACAAAACGATCTTTTATATGTATTTTAAGGTATTACACCCCCCCCCCTTTTCCCAACCATAAAGTGTGGAATGTCCCATCAACTGAAACAGAGCACCGACACTTAGCGTTGAACCAGCAGAGCCTAACATGTTAGCGGAGTCAGAGCCTGACATATTAGCGGAGTCAGAGCCTGACATGTTAGCGGAGTCAGAGCCTGACATGTTAGCGGAGTCAGAGCCTGACATGTTAGCGGAGTCAGAGCCTGACATGTTAGCGGAGTCAGAGCCTGACATGTTAGCGGAGTCAGAGCCTGACATGTTAGCGGAGTCAAACAACCCGTGACGTTAATTTAAGAAAACATGATTTGTGTTTTATCTATGAAATGTTCAGACACCGTGCAGCTGTATAAGACACCACCGTACATCTCTATGAGACACCATCGTACAGCTGTATGAGACGCCCCGTACAGCTGTGTGAGACCACCGTACAGCTGTATTAGACAGCACCGTACAGCTGTATGAGACACCACCGTACAACTGTATGAGACCACCGTACAGATGTATGAGACGCCACCGTACAACTGTATGAGACCACCGGACAGCTGTATGAGACCACCGTACAGCTTTATTAGACGCCACACACTAGTTAACAGCTAACAGCAGAGTATGACCGTTTTAACGTTTACTACCGCAAAGAAAAACAATATTCGGGAGGGGGTGTGGGGTGCTGGAACTATGAGGGGCGCTGGAACTATGTGGGGCGCTGGAACTATGTTTCAAGCACTTGGACAAAAGTTCAGAAAGTTCAACGGGAAGAATATGTTCGAGTTGAACAGAGAGTTCATGAACTACATGCACTGATATGGTTACGTTATAAAAGCATGGCGGATGGATTCAGATGAATATTCTATACGTCATGCAGTCGTATGCTGCCCGCATTCTAGGTGACATCATAGGCGTAGTCATTGACATATACTACTACTACATCAATTATCACATTGGAATGGGGGGGAGAGGGGGGCACAGAAAGAAAGTAAGATATATATATATATAGAGAGAAAGAAAGTAAGATATCTATATATATATATAAAGAAAGAGACAATTATGGTGAGAGAGAACTAGCAGCAAAAAGATCTTCACGCACGAAGGCCGAACCACAACAATATCTTAAGGTAGAATTGAAGACTCCAGTGAGTTGTAATAATAAGTCCCGGATGGCCAGGGTTAAATCATGGCTTATTGTTGAAACAATCAAAACTTATAGAAAAACAATGCATTAGTCCGGAGACTTCAGAAGTCAATGAGATTCCAACAAAATAGGTTACCACCCCCCACCTCCCCCCACACACATTACACACACACACCTTGACTCGACCCCGAAGCTCTGGAATAAAATGGCACGCTTCAGTAATTCAACACTGGAATCTAAGAATCAGGTTCTAGGTCTTCATTAGACCGTGAACTTATACTAGCTAAATAAAAGTGTGGGACCCCCCCCCCCCGACCACAACCCAACCATTTCCCACACCCTTAGAGTTTATTAGAGTCAGAATTAAGAGTCAGAAATTAAGAGTCAGAAATTAAGAGTCAGAAATTAAGAGTCAGATATGAATTAATTGTAAAAGAAGTACGTCTCAATACACGTGTAATGGCGTGTCTCAATACACACCCAATGGCGTGTCTCAATACACACGCAATGGCGTGTCTCAATACACACCCAATGGCGTGTCTCAATACACACCCAATGGCGTGTCTCAATACACACCCAATGGCGTGTCTCAATACACACCCAATGGCGTGTCTCAATACACACGCAATGGCGTGTCTCAATACACACCCAATGGCGTGTCTCAATACACACCCAATGGCGTGTCTCAATACACACCCAATGACGTGTCTCAATACACACCCAATGACGTGTCTCAATACACACCCAATGCGTGTCTCAAACACCCAATGACGTGTCTCAATACACACCCAATGACGTGTCTCAATACACACCCAATGCGTGTCTCAATACACACCCAATGCGTGTCTCAATACACACCCAATGCGTGTCTCAATACACAACCAATGGCGTGTCTCAATACACACCCAATGGCGTGTCTCAATACACACCCAATGCGTGTCTCAATACACACGCAATGGCGTGTCTCAATACACACCCAATGGCGTGTCTCAATACACACCCAATGGCGTATCTCAATACACACCCAATGGCGTGTCTCAATACACACGCAATGGCGTGGGTACTTGGCAAATCCCTGAAATAAATCATGGTTATTGATTCATATTATCGAATCTAAGCTTTGGAGGTAAGGAAAGGGAGCTAAGTAAGGGGTTGGTTAGACAACGGATCTGATTAAACAACAATATAACAATAATTAAATGTTTAATCTAAGAAAATGAGGCCTTACGCTGATGAACCAGTGATAACAGTTACTCGACTGAAATCTCCAATGTATCGTATCAAATATCGTATTAGGTAGGTATCGAGCGTGCGACCAGCAACGCGTGGATGTCAAGAGGTTACTAATTTAAAGAGGCGATTCCCTTCAAATAAGTCAAATTAGGTGGTACGGTACGCGTCATCAACCCATACTTGAACAATCTCCACGAACCTGGTCATTCCCCTATTATACCCTGACAATCGCCTAACCAGCCCTCCAGTAAGGTCCAGTCTTGTTTCCGTCGGTTGGCGAGCCCA